TGTATAAACCTCTATAAAGTCACCCCTCCCCCACTGATGCTCCAGGACAAATAGCCCCAGTCTATTCGGCTTCTCCCTATAGCTCAAATCCTCCAACCTTGGCAACATCTTTGCAGATCTTTTCTGAACCCTTTCAAGTTTCAAACATCTTTCATACCTCAGGGAGACCAGAACTGAATGCAGTATTCCAAAAGTGGGCTAACCAATGTCCTGTACAGGTGCAACATGACCTCCCAACTCCTATACTCAATGCACTGACCAATAAAGGCAAGTATACTAAACACTGCCTTAACTTATCCTGTCAACCTGTGACTCCACTTTCAAGGAACTATGAATCTTCACTCAGGTCTCTGTTCAGCAACATTCCCAGGACCTTACTATTGTGTACAAGTCCTGCCCTGATTTGCCCTACCAGAATGTCTTACCTCACGTTTATCTAGATTAAACTCCATCTGCCACTCTTCAGCACATCTCAACAAGGTCCTGTTGTACTCTGAGGTAACCTCCTTCCCTGTCCGCTACACCACAAATTTTGGTGTCATCTGCCAAGTTACTAAGCATACCTCCTATATTCCCATTGAAATCATTTATATAAATGTCAAAAAGCAGTGGACCCAGCACTGATCCTTGCGTACACCACTGGTCACAGGCTTCAGCCCAAAAAAAAAACCCTTCACCATCATCTGTCTCCTACCTTCGAGCCAGTTTTGTATCCAAATGGCTATTTCTCCTGTATTCCATTTGATCTAACCTTGCTAACCAGTCTACCTCACCGAACCTTGTCGAATACTATACTGAAGTCTATATAGACAACAAGCATCACTCTGCCTTCTTCAGTCCTCTTCGTCAACTCAACCAAGTTATTGAGACACACTTTCCCATGCACAAGGCAATGCTAACTATCCCTAATCAGGTCTTACCTTTCCAAATGCGTGTGAATTCTGTCCCTCGGAATCCCCTCCAACAACTTGCTTGCCACTGACGTCAGGCTCACCGATGTATAGTTCTGTGGCTTTTTCTTACCACCTTAATGGCACCACATTAGCCAACGTCCAGTCTTCCACCACCTGACCTGTGGCTATCGATGATATAAATAGCTCAGCAAGGGATCCAGCAATCATTTCCTTAGCTTCCCACAAAGTTCAAGGGTACACCTAATCAGGTCCCAGGGATTTATCCACCTTTATGCATTTTAAGATATCCAGTACCACCACTTCTGTAACTTGAGCACTTTTCAAGACATTGCTATTTATTTCCCCAAGTTCTTTAGCTCCCGTATCCTTCTCCACAGTAAGCAGTGATGCAAAATACTCATTTAGCATCTCCCGCAGTTTCAAACAGGCGGCCTTGCTGATCTTTAAGTTGGACTGTTCTCTCCCTAGTTACTCTTTTGTCGTTAGTGTATTTATAGAATCCCTTTGGATTCTCCTTAACCCTATTTGCCAAAGCAATCTCATGTCTCCTTTTTACCCCTCCTGATTTTCTCTCAAGTATACTACTGCACTTATACTCTTACAGGAATTTACTCAATCCCTGCTGTCTATTTCTGACATATGCTTCCTTTCTTTTTCTTGACCACGGCCTCAATTTCTGTAGTCATCCAGCACTCCCTGTACCTACCAGCCTCCCATTTCACCCTAAGGGGAACAAACAGTCTCCGTACATTCGTTATCTCATTTTTGAAGTCTTCCCACGTTTCAGCCGTCCCTTTACCTGCAAATATCTGCCCCCAATCAACTTTTGAAAGTTCTTAATACTGTCAAAATTGGCTTGACTCCAATTTAGAACTTTTAACTTTTTGATCAGCTCTATTCTTTTCCATAACTACTTTAAAATAAATAGAATTATGCACTGGCTCCAAAGTAATCACCCACTGACACCATAGTCACTTGCCCTGCCTTATTTCCCAAGAGAAGGTCAAGTTTTGCTCTTTCTCTAGTATGTGCATCCACATACTGAATAAGAGAGTTTTCTTGTGCACACTTAACAAATTCTTCTCTGTCCATGCTTTAACATAACACTTATGTATATTTATCTTGTCAACTTTATATTCATCAATCACATTTGGTTAATGATGCAAAATAATCTTGTAGAAAGAGCGGCTACTTGCACTTACCAGCAGATTAAAATTATAAATGATTAGAATTGCCCTCAACAATTTGCCAACTACAAGTTTTTGCATAGCAGCCTGAAAGGAACTCAGAATTAGCTCTCTGTTCCAGGCTCTGCAGGTAGTATCATAAAAAAAATACAGCTGTTTTTGTAAGGCTGCAGAGTATCTACAGATAAAAGGGATAGTTGACCCATACTTATTCAGTATTGCCAAGTTAAAAACACAATTCCCCTTTCTATTCCTCATCTCAGTCTTGTACTAAAGTTTTCACTGACATTATTCTGTCTGAAGGTCACTTTGTGTTTATCATTTTGTATAGTGAAGCTACATTGTTCCTAAATTCTCCCAGCACCAGAGTAAACCATTGGTCTGACAGTCTTGTCATTCCTTGGCAATAGTCGTCCAGATTTGTCTTGCTTGCCCTATTAAACATCAAGTATATTTTTTGTAGCCTTTGATCATAATTTGCTTGAGTACCAATAACCAGCCTGTTGGATCATGTCTGGATTAATGCAGAACCTGTGTATTTACTCTCTTGTTTGTTGCTATCGAAACTGAATATTAATTGAGATACTGTATAACTTGGGCACTTGTATAATTTCAATATGATCTATTCTGCTGTGATCTAGCAACTAGCAATATGATTCAGCATTTTGTTTGCTTTTTGAAAGAACATGTTTGTATGTTTATTGCTATGTTCCTTTACTAATATTATGTGGATTGAAGAAACCAGGAGTATGGTTTATGTATGGAATCTTTCAGAATCACAGCGGCAGAGGTTCTGTGCTGGTGGCTCTCGAAATTGGATTGTGTTTTTCTTGGGGTGGTGCATTGATCACAAACTAGTAGGATTGAGAAGTTCACTAAGAAATACCTTTTTAAGATCAATTTCTTTTTGCAGAGTGGGAGGAATCTTTATCCTCTTGATTGCACGTACTATAAGTTCTCTTTCTTTAAAGTACAGTTTTAAGAATTTACAAAAGTCTCTTTTCATGAGAGGTTACAATCGGGTCCATAGATCCATTTTGAAATTCCAAATATCCGTATGGTGGCTGCACTTGCGGATTGTCAAGCAAAGGAATTGAAATGGCTATTAGCACTTTTCCAGTACTAAATTAAGTATCAGCGAGACTTTAGTATGAATGTGTTTGAAAGATTGATCCAATGGTAACTTGATTCTGTGCTATTGCTAAATGTTAAAATGTAAACTTCAGATTCCTGTTTTTCTTACAGATTTAAACCACAGTGGTTTGGGATCGCATTATGAAAACTCTCACTGGGGACCCGTCTCTACCAATGGTGACTCTTCTTCAAATTGGGATAAAGTTATTGTAGACGGGTCTGACAAAGAAGCCTGGCCTTCAATCACTGGCAGTGACCCAGAGTTGGCTTCAGAATGTATGGACGTTGACTCTGCTTCAAGCTCTGGGTCAGAGAAGAACCTCAATATCATGGCTTCGGGGAGCACAGATGGTGATAGCAACAGAACAAGCAGTGGAAATGGTTCTTCAAGTCAGTTTGTAGTTGGAAATGTCGGCAATAATGTAGGAAATGGAAGTATTAATGGGCCTTGGGGAGGACCTCGAGGCCCTTTGTCAAGCACATGTCAGGTTTCATCAGAAAACGGAGATGGCAAACCAGAAAATGACCATGGTAAACTGAATGCTTGGGGCAGCATAGGTTCCACATCAACTACCAACCTGGGCGGTTGGCCTGTTTTAGAAAATGATGGAAATGCTGTGCAAGGACCTATGCCAGGTAGCAATTCTGGCAACAATGTTCAACGTAGCACTGTAGGTCAAATCCTAAATAATCAGAGTGTTAATATGGAACTGTCAGTTCATGGTTCTTGGGAAGGTATGCAGGAGAATTCAGATGTAGAAGTTAATGGTACAAGGAACATTTCATTCAGTGGTCAACCTCAAAATCTTAACACTGAAATGAATGGACCAAATAACACTACTAACCCTTTGACCTCTAGCTTACCAAACTCTACTAGTTCGATGCAGACAAGTGAACTGCCTAAACTTACAGGGCCTGGGGCCTGGGGTGTACCCTTAGGAATGAGCACAGTAAACCCATCTCAGCTTCAGGCCACTTCAATTACAAATGGCACTTCCGTTTCTAAACCAGGCAATGGAGGAATTGGCGAAGGAATGAACAGTGGGTCTAATGGTACTACTTGGGGTACATCTGGCACTAACTACTCTGGAGAAAAATGTCCAGGCTTGAGCAGTAATTTGGGACAAACTTGTGGCGACACTGTGAATGCAACTGTAGCACAATCTGCTGTCAATGGATCTGGGAGTACTGTCTACAGAAGTAATGGTGGAAGCAATCGAGGGGGAGTTGCTTGGGAATCTGGTGTGGTCAACACCCATAATATGAGTTGGGGGGCAGGGAATAATACAGGCTCCGGGGGGACTAGAAGAGTCTGGGGAAACTTGGCACCAAACGCGAACACTGGCACTAATATCTCAAATGGGGAATGGAGCAAACTGCCTAACAATCAGCATTCCAATAATGGTCTAAATGGAAGTTGTAACAGGAAGGGAACAAATGGATGGAAAAGTCTAGATGATGCTCTTTGTGGTCAAAATCAGAATTCTACGTGTCAGCCAAGTGAACAGAACAATATGTGGGTTAGAACTCCATCAACGTCAGGTACAGCGGACAGTGAAGGGAGCACAGAGAGCACAGGGAGTCGACATGATAGAATGAGTGTGGGAAGTGGTGATGGCAATAGCAGACGTGGTGAAAAAAGGAAACCTGATCAACCTGGAATGGTCCAAAGTATTCTGACTAGAACTGACTTGGACCCACGTGTCCTTTCCAATACAGGTTGGGGGCAGACTCCAATCAAACAAAACACTGCCTGGGATATTGAACCTTCAGCAAAGAGTGAGAAAAAAACTGACAATGGAACAGAAGCCTGGGGAGGTTGTGTTTCTCAAACTTCTAACTCAGGGGGGTGGGGGGATGGGCCTGGCCCTATCAGTAATGATACCTCATCAGTATCTGGATGGGGCGATCCAAAGTCTGCTACAGTCTCTTGCAACACAGGGTGGGGAGACACCAAAGGCTCGAGCAGCCAAGGGGGTTGGGAGAATAATTCTGCTGCTACAGGATTGGTTAAGAGTAATCAAACGTGGGGAGGTAATAAAGAAGACAAGTCAGCTGCATGGAATGATGCACAAAAGGTCAAGCAAGGATGGGTTGATGGGCAGAAATCAAACCAAGGCTGGGGAATTTCTGGAGTTGATGGATGGGGAGAAAATTCAAGGAATGGCCAGTGGGCGGATTCCCAGAAGAGTAATTCAGCCAACTGGGACAATGATGGTGATAGATCTGGGAGACCAGGCACAGGCCGAAGCACTTGGGCAAGTAGCAACAGTTCAAACCCCAATGGTACTTCAGGCTGGGGTGAGCCTGCCAAACCGAATAGCTCTGCAGACTGGACTAAGCAGCAGGACAGTAATGGCTCTTGGGGAGCTGCACCACCACCTAATAAATCCTCTGGCTCTGGCTGGCTCAATGGCCCAATGCCAGCTCCGTCAAAAGAGGAAGAACCTACGGGCTGGGAGGAACCTTCTCCAGAGTCTATTCGCCGCAAAATGGAAATTGACGATGGCACCGCTGCCTGGGGTGACCCGAGCAAGTATAACTACAAAGGTGTGAATATGTGGAACAAAAACACACACAGTAGTGGCAACAACTCCGAGCAGCCAGCGCAGGTTCAGCCCCCGCCAGCACTGCAGCAGACGCCGCCACAACAGTTGCCACAGCAAATGCCACCGCCAAGTGCCATGCAAAACAAAGAAAACAGTGGCTCTGGTAAGTTTAACACTGATTCACACCTTCAGTGAAACGAAGAGTGAAATTTGAGGTTCTAATTTGTTCTGTTCTCTACAGTGTATTTGCAAATCTTAATGAGAAATTGGACTGTATCAGTTCCAGTACCTCGACCTGTGTATCTATTGTGTACATACGTTTGTTTATTAATTCCTTGCTACACTCTCAGATCTAGTCGTTAAAAATGTTCGGCTGTGATGAGTGTGTATTTCCCAACAGGGTGGATTTTGTTTCTGTCTGGTTAGTTTCTGTGAAAGGTCTGAATGAAATTCAGAATTTTAAAAACTGCATTAGGATTTTGAAATTTGCATCGTTTGGAAGAATTATTTATTTTGAGTCTGTAGATGAAGTTTTTTAAATGATTGGAATATCCGTTACTCTTATTGGATTTAAAAACAGAGTTTAATTTTCATTGAATGCTACTTCCCGTTCATAAACCTATGACATGTACAAATATGACCAGATGGGCTATGTGTGAGAATTTGCTGGTAAATTAGATGGATTTATTTACCCAAGCATGTTGTCCAATTCATCCGATACTAATGCGTTCCTTTTTCTACTGTTTCTTTTGAGATCATGTTATCTCAGTGTGCCTGCATAGATCTCTACAGGAACCAGCAACGTACATGGAACCATAGATGTTCTGCTGAGAGAGTTTAAGGACTTCTGGGTCAAATTAAAACGCAGAACATCAGAAGTAGAGAGAGTCTGGATTGTGACCTGAGTCTCATGCCATTTGGCATAGGGTCAAGTAGATTAGACAATGTGCAGCTGGGAAGAAATGGTTACGATTCATGGGGTACTGGTACCTGTACTAGGCTGTTCTATTAGGATAGACTGTACTGGGACCAATGTGCTGGCAATTCACATGACCTTAGCCACAGATAAGGTATACACTAAAGAGCTGAAGGACCATTTAAAATCTAAAGGGAATAATCAAGGCAATCCAGGAGTGCAGCACCTTGGGTAAAGACAAGCAGAGTGGAATGGCGTCTGTGAATGAGGTCTACTTTCTGCTGTTACTTCTCAGGTTCTTGTGCTGCCTTTATACTCGTGACATTGGATACCAATGATCCTTGACTGTATTTTGGTTTCAGCAGAAGCAAGGTGATTCACTTTTTTTACTTTTCTGCACCTGTTCCCTTAATCTGGTCCATTTCGTGAGCCTGTGATTAGAGCTATTGTTGTCTCTCTGTCTCTCTGTCTCTCTTTGCCTCTGGCCCTGAACTCTGCTCAGTGCTTTTCCAGTTATAGCCTCTTATAGTTTGGGTTTAATTGTATTAAGTCTGCTGGTAGTATCTTTAGCTGCCTAGGCTGTGGTCTTTGGAGTCCATTTGTTAAACCTCTATCTCTCAAGCATTCCATTTATTTCTCCTGGTTTAAGACACACTTCTTAAAAAAATTAAGTTTTTGGTCATATGTTCTAATACCTTCTCTTGTAATCGTGTTAGTTTTTATAATGCTTCAATTAAGCATTTTGAGACATTTTCTTTATTAAACACACCATATAATTAACAATTGTCTAATTATGGTTAACCATAGTTTAATAGACAAAAACATACCGTAGTGTAGCTATTGATAATGGGCCCAGTTTCAGCCCTTGGGTATATGGTACTATTTATGATAGGTTGACGGTATGGTGGTAATTATAATGTCAAAGACTAATTGTAGTTAGGTTTTCAAATGAGCAAGTGATAAGAGCAAGCCACTTAGCCCTTCAAGCCTGATCTGCCATTCAATAAGATCATGTCTGATCTGATTTTAGTCTCCACTCTATATTACTGCATACCTGCAATAATCTTTCACACTTTGATAATCCAGAATCTGTCTACCTCAGCCTTAAAAGTTTCAATGATTCTGTATTCACTGCCTGTTCTGGAAGAAAATTCCAGAGACACTCGACCTTCTGAGAATTTTTTTTGTTCCTCGTGTGTCTTAATTGGGAGACTTTTTAGACAGGTGCTAGTTTTATAATCTTTCGCACAGAAAGAAACATACTTTCCTCATGTGCCTGGTCAAGTCCCCTCAGGATCATCTTTGTTTCGTTTAAGTCATCTCTCGCTCTTCTAAGCTCAAATAAAAACCAAGCCTTTTTTTCATAAGGCAATCCCGTCATTCCACGTATTCGTGTAATAAACCTTCTCTGAGCTGCTTCCAGTGCGTTAGCATCCTTCTGTAAGTACAGTGACCACTGCACGCAGTATTCCAGATGTGATCTCTGTAATGCCATGTATAACTGAATCATAAACTCCCTACTCTTGCATTCAGTTCCTCACAATGAAACACAACATTCTCATAGCTTTCCTGATTGCTTGCTATACCTGCACACTAACCACCTGTGATTCATGCACTTGGACACCCAGATCTCTCTGTATCTCAGAGCTCTTCAACTTCTCGTCATATTGGTACTATACCTTTTTAAATCTTTCTGCCAAAATGGACAGTTTCTCACTTTCCCACATTATGCCCCATTTGCCAGATCTTTGCCCACTCTCTTAATCTATCTATATCCCTTTATAGGCTCCTTATGCCCTCTTCACAACTTGCTTTCCTACCTACCATTGTACCATCAAATTTAGCGACCAGACCTTCAGTCCCTTCATCCAAATTAATTATATAAATTGTAAAGAATTGAGTCCTCAACACCTACCTCGTGATGCACCCATGATATCCTGCCAGCCTGAAAAAGACCTATCTTTTCTTACTTGGTTTCTTGTTAGTCTTCTATCCATGCCAACATGTTATCCCAATATCATTAGCTTTTAATTTTCACAATAACCTTTGAGACACTTTATCGAATGCCTTCTGGAAATCCAAGTATTCACTGGTTCCCCTGTATCCACAGCAAAAGTTACTTCTTCAAAGAACTCCAATAAATCATAAATATGATTTCCTCTTGATACAACCACATATCAGCTGTGCCTGGTTATCTTGAACTTATCCATACACCTGGTATATAACATGTTTAATGAAAGCAGCTATCATTTTCCCCATGATAGATGTTAAGCTAACTGGCCTATAGTTTCCAGCTTTCTGCGTGTCTCCCTTTTTTGAATAAGAGTTACATTAGCTATTTTCCAATCTAAATGAACCAGCCCCAAATCTAATGAGTGTTGGAAAATTAAAATCAGCATTTCAACGATCTCGCTACTCCTCCTTTTAAGACCCTAAGATGAAATCCATCAGCTTGATAACTTGCAGTTCCAGTGGTTTACTTGGTACTACTTCTCTGGTAATTGTAATTTTCTTGAATTCTTTCCTCCCTTTTTCAATTTGAACTATTTCTGGGATGTTACTTGTGTACTCCCTGGTGAAGACCAATGCAAAATACCTGTTCAATTTGTTTGTCATCTCCTTATCCTCCATTACTAATTTTCTGTAGGAATAATTTCACTATATTTTCTAATTCCTGTTTTATGTTGAGCAGTGTATATTTTATTTACATAGTTTGTTATGCTGGTGTGGCCAAATACGTGTTCAATCTGGTTCAGAGATTCAAACCCTGTTTCTTGGCACCAAAACTACTAGCCTTTAACTCTGCAACGCAATCCACACATGAACTATTTTTAACAGAACTTCCCCAGTGCTTAGTGTCCATTTGTGCTGTCTTCAGTATCCTGAATGTCAATCTGTGTAAATTTCAACTTAATCAAACCCTTTTACCAGTCATCACCTATTCTTACCACCCCCCCTAATTGTAACCCATTATTCAGTACATTGAATTCAGACTTCGTTTCCCTTCATTTAGCTTCATTTACAAATCCCTGTATGACCTTGCTCTGTTCTATCTCTGCAACAATGCATATTAGGAAATGTCCTTTAGTCTTTTGATCCTCGCTCCCTACTGTCCTTCCACTTTTGTCCTGACATTCTAAACCATATCTATATCTTTGCTTAGTGAATCATTTCTCGTAGAAGGTATTTAGCCCATTTCGTCTCTGCTGGCTTTCTAAGTGCTACCACTTATCTGCACGCTGTCCGGTGTAGTTTTTCCTCTTCGATGTGGTATCTAATGTCATTTTATGACACTTGAAACTGGTGCCATCATCCTCTTAAACTACAAGAAATGTAGTTTTCTCCTCCCTGAATTTTTTTCCCATCCTTCTCTGCTTTAAGGAGAAAAACTAAGTATTTTCTCATCTTCAAATATTGTCAAACTTCCCACAAAATGAAACTCTTAATCGACTACATAACTTTTTCTGCCTGTTCTTTAATTTTCGTTGAAGTGCTGAGGAATTGTTTTCTCTCTTGGATTATTTGTTCTCAGGATCCAGAGGCTTAGATTCTTGTCACTTTCTGCATTTTTCAGGGTGTATTAAGTTGACATTCTGTTCACCGTGCCTACAGGATTGGCATTGCAACTGGGGAAAGTAGTTCTTTTATTCATTTGTGGGATGTGGGCATTGCTGGCTGGCTAGTATTTATTGCCGTCCCTAGTTGCCTCCTTTAACCACGCAGTCCACCTGATGTGTAGTTCATGTCACAGTCCAGACTAACAGGTAATTCTGTTCACAATATCAAAAGATTTCGTACACTTTGCATTTCAAATCTAAATTCAGTTTTCAGCGTCACATAAATTAATTCTGTTTCATGAAGCTAACCATTTAATAACATTCGCATTTCAATGATTTTTTCTTTCTTTTCCTCTGCTAATGCACCTCATGTCAGTGAATTAGTGAGCTGTTGGAACCCTTAGCACATAAACACTCTGTTGCATTCAAGACACGCATCACATTCTTGAGATGGTTAACTCAATCACCACAATCCCTAATGCCAAATATTTTACAATGGACATTGAAGGTCTGTACAGAAATATAGAGATAAGCTTGCTGTCAAAATATCTTCTAATAAATTTCCCCATCCTGACAGGCTAGACAAAGCTATGTTCCGGCTTCTGCATTTTGGCTTAACAGAAAACAAAAGCAGAGTGAAGATGCACCCTGCGCTAAGGGAGTTTTGTTGCACAGTGGTAGTGTCCCTGC